GCGCCTTGCAGGGTATACCCTTTGGTTGGTTGATTTGGTTGATGATGCATGGAGGGGATTGTAACCATGGCAATGAAATGATATGATAGGATGAATATAAATCTAATGTTCTCCCATGTAAACTATCAATCATATAATTCACAATAAAACATTTTAAAAAAAGAATAAGCCATCTAACTTTAGCTTTTTTAAAGCTCAAGATTTTATTGTGTAGAAAATAAAAACCAGTTTTAGGCTTGGAAAAACAATATAATGTGTAATAACAGAAAATAAAATATACAAATTTACTCAATCCATATTTTGTGCCATATACATTGTATCAGATTCCCATAATTTCTAACACCCAGTTTGTGTGTTCCTACTTTTAAAAACAAGAGGATACTCAGTATAAAAGAGGTAAATTGATCTACCTAAGACCCCACAAGGCAGAAATTATGTGGAGTTGGAACCCCCCCTCCCACCGCCCAAGGCAGAAATTATGTAAAGTTGGGTTGCGAATTCATCTTTCTAACCAGTGTTGCCTCTTCACAGGGAAAATATATACTAAACTACAAGTGTGTGTAAACTAAAGTGTGATCATTTCACTTGCTTGTTTATTTGCTTTCTGATGACGTAAACTTCATTTCTATCTAATTTATAATGATAGCGTGTGGGGGTGGTGATTGTATTTACAAAAGTTTTACCCCTTATAAGGGTTTGTGCCCTGGAGCAATGGAGCCAAATTCATGAATTCAAAGGTAGAAAAAGAGAAGTTGTATTAGAAGGTAGAGCCAGTGGGGATTCCGTCTTCAATGCAGGCTTTCTTAATGGAATTCCACCTATGATCAGTCTATCAACTTTTACACTGGAACCCACAATCTAGGGGAGTCGTATACTTCTCCGGATGCTTTATGTTACTCAAGTCACATAATTACAAAGATGTAAATGCCCACCTTAACAAGCAGATAAAACAGTAAGAGTAACATTTCAAATGCATAAGCAATCTTCATCGATGTTCTAATGATCCTCCATGCCTAACTGTCCAAATTTCCACACACAGTATACCTGTCCTTGAGCAATACAGAAAATGATAAAAAATTCCACAGAGGTTGGGTTGAGGAACAGGGCAAACATGGCTTAAATAAGGCTACGTAGACACATGGAATGGGGTAGGTTACTGCTGGATGATAGTACTTCAATCGGTTACGACAGTGTAAAGCAACAGCTGACAGCAAGGGAATCTAAAAACCTGTTGAGAGTCTAGTCTGTTTCAACACATAGCCTCTCAGTAGGAGAGAGTAAAACTGTCCAATAGGGTTTTCTAGATTGTAATCTTTACTGGTGTGGCACCGTGGGTTAATGCGTGGGGCTGCAAAGTCAGTTTGAATCACAAGATTGGCAGTTCAAGCTCACCAGCCACTCCTCGGAAACCCTATACAGGGTTGTTAATGGGTTGGAACTGACTCGACAGCACTTAAACAACAATCTTTACTGGAGCAGACTGCCACATCTTTCTCACACAAACAGTTGATGGATTCAAACTGCCAACATTTTAATTAGTAACTGAGCTCTTCACCACTTTATCACCAGGGCACCTTAACAAGGGAGTAGTGTTCATCTATCTTACCGGTTAGTCACTAGAGTTTAGGATCACTTAGTGCACAGCACCCCACATGCACTGGCTCCTGAGAACGTAAGTCTAATAGAGCCCAACAACAATAATAGCGTTTATTAGATGACTGTGTCGTTATGATTTCTTTAACCATTAAATGGGTGATAATGATGAGGACATTGGTGGTTCATGCTGGAGAACCCGCCTTGTTTTCCAGCCATTTACCTCATGCTCAAATACTACTCATCTGCCAGCGGTGGCTTGCATGTTGCTATGATGCCAAACTGGTTGAAACCAGTTTCCAGACTAAGACAGTTGATGAAAAACCTATGGATTACAATAGTTCACAACCAGTCATGGGAATGGTATAGGGCTGGACAGTGTGTCATTGTGTTAATGCACGGGGTTGCCATGAGTCAGGAGTATGTGTGTGGGTTGGAAGTATAGCTAACAACTACCACAACATAATAACTACCTGACTCCTGCTGAATCCAACCAGACATCGACTACTGAATGCTGAGTCTCTCTGAATGGGGTTAGTAGATACAGATAGGAGAGGCATGCTACATAGGATTGTTTAGATGAACTGAAACTTGATAGGAGAAGCAAAGAAACCATATACCTTTGGAAAAGGTCCATTATGGAACAATTTATTAAATTGCTCTTTTGTACTTGAATTACATGTAAAAGTAGGCACATTTTCAAGTTGTATTGATGAAAAGATAGAAGAATAGAAATAGGGAAAGCGTTGCCTTTCTGCACTTAGTGGGTATATTCAGAATTATAAGCCTGCATCTTTTCCTTCCAGTTTATGCACTATATATGCTTAGATTTGAGTAGTGTACAATTCATCAGTGCATTCCTCTTGTTTTAAAAAGCTAAATCTGTGTATCACTTCCTGTGTTTCATTCCTTGTGTTTCAGGTGGGCCAGCCATGAGAGGGTACCTTGTGGCTATATTCCTGAGTGCTGTCTTCCTCTACTATGTGCTGCATTGTATATTATGGGGAACAAATGTCTATTGGTAAGATTTCTTTTCATTATTTAAAAAACTCCTAGTCTTTTTGTACCCTCAAAATATGATATACAAGGGACTTGGAGAAAATGACACCAACCATTATTCCCACAGCATTCTCTGGATTCAATAATTCATTGCAATGACCACACAGAACTTAAGACACGATACTCAGTTATGGGTTTACAAAAGAAGTTGTTGTTGTTAAGTGCCGTTGAGTCAGTTCTAACACATAGCAACCCTTTAAAGGGTTTCTGAGGTGCTGCTGGTGGGTTTGAAGCACAGACCTTGCGGTCCAGCATGTGCAGTCCAGCGCATTATCCTGCAGTTACCAGGTTACAATTCAGGGTCAGAAATGCTCAAGGCATGGTTGTTTCACTCCGGACAACCTCTCCTCAGCCCTGCCTATAGGCAAGTGTGTCTGCCTGGCCAATTTAATGAAATTCTTGAGGATTCTTGGTGTGATACCATAGGATCAGCACTAGAGTGCAAACCACGAGGTCGGCAGTTCAAACCCACCAGCTGCTCCTTGGAAACCCTATATAGGATTGGTATGAGTCAGAAATGACATGATGGCTCTTATAGTAGCAGCAGCAACCCTTTGTTGTTGTTGTTGCTACTTGCCCACAGTACACACTGTTGTTAAGTGATGTTGAGTCAATTCTGACTTACAGCAACACTGTATAGGGTTTCTGAGGAGCAGCTGGTGAATTTGAACCAATAGCCATTGCAATTCAAACCATCCTTGCTGTCGGGTGCATTATTCCACAGCTCCACATAGGATACATTGTTGTTGTATTGTGCCGTGGAGTGGGCTCCTACTTATAGTGACTCTGTACAGGGTTTCCAAGGCTGTAAATCTTTACCAGAGCAGAAAGCCTCATCTTTCTCCCGCAGAACAGCTGGTAGTTTCGAACTGCTGACCTTGAGGTTAGCAGTCTGATTTGTAACCACTACGCTACCAGAGCTCCTTTTAGGATACATTACTCCACCATAATTTACAGCCTAAAGGCACTTGGCTTTAGCTCCATGGGCCAACAAACCTAGTTCTCCCAATGAAATGCCTGGGGGTACCCCAATCTGCAAGCAAGCCTTCTACCAAAAGACACACTGATTTGCTCTGTGGGCTGGGAACCCCATGGCTCTGTCTCCAGCTCTCCATTTGGTTCTACTGCAGCTTCTCCTCTGCCACTCCTCTGGGATCACAGCTTTCTGTCCTTGGGTCAAGGAGGTTGACTGCACAGAGATTTCTGGGTCCAAATGATACACTCCATGCTCCATTCCTGGCTTTTCTTTGATGGTAGTGAGCTCCTCCTATCCCTGCTTCTTAGATGGCTAATTTTGCACACTTTAGAGTTTCAGGTTAACCCTGTTGATCACTCACAACTAAATCACATCATCTTGTGAGCATCTTCTTTCTCCTTCTCTTACCCAGACACATCAGTACGAAATGGTTGTTTGGTGGGAGTTTACAAAGACTATGACTAAAAGTGACGTTAATAATTCATTGTACTGCAGGGTCTTATAAAAAAAATCCTATAACATTGTAATATTGTGTCTCTTCTGGTTTTCCATTAAAAAATTGAGATTTTACCACTCGAGTATCATAAAGATTGTATCTCTATCAGTTTCAAAAGTAATGAACAACACCCTCCTTTTATTGATTCTCTAATGAACCAGTGGTATTAAGCATTTGGGGCACATAATATTATTTATATAATATTTCATTTTCTTAAGTTAATGGAGCAATTCTTGGGCTCAGTGACACTTCACTCTTAAAGCCCAAAATTTTGGGTTGAGAGCTCATTTATAAAATATACACATTACATGGTTTTCATTGCTAAAAAAATAGTAGCTGAATGATGAAATACTTGTGTATATTTGAAATAACTTTGATTTGAAATGTCTCATATAAAATTTTGAAGAGGCCTGTAGTTTTACTAAAGGTGAAAATCTCTAAAAAGCTACTTACCCTTCTCATTGTCAGTCTTTTAGCAAAGAACATTTTCATGACCTTTAAATGTTGAACATGTAGTCATGGTTGTAGTTGTATGCTGTGGAGTCCAGGAGCAGAAAGCTCATAGAATTGTTTAGATGAACTGAAACTCCTATGGAAACAGCTGGTAGTTTTGAACTGCTGACTTTGAGATTAGCAGCCCAACTTGTAACCACTACACTACAGAGCTCCTTTGTTGGACAGGTGGTGTTGGTTATGTGCCATGGAGTCAGTTCTGACTCATAGAGGCCTTGCATAGGATTTCTGAGGTTGTAAATCTTTGCTGGAGCAGAAAGCCTCATCTTTCCACTGGCAGTTTTGAACTGCTGACCTTGAGATTAGCAGCCCAACTAAACTATCAGAGCCACATGACAACTTTCCTTAGGCAGAGTTTGTTTGTTTTTTACCAGTGTTTCAATAGTAGAAATCCTAGATCATGTTTGTAGCTTGTGCTTAGCCCCACAGCCCAGACACAGCAGTTCTAATTACAGAGATTTTCTAACAGAAAAAATTGAAATTTGCTTCTACTTATAAAGGGTTTAGGCTATTTACGTCCATTTTAATCTCAAATTTTATTAGTTCTCTTTACATATTAATTCTTTACATAATTGATGATCATTAATCAGTTCTTATATTGAACTGTTTTCTCCCTCCTGAGTATGAGACTCCCTCCCTTCATTTATTTTTGTTGTTTTCCTGTCTTGTTTCACAATACCCTTTTAAGTTGTGGAGACAAGTACTCTATTCAGACAACACACAAGGGACTGACTTGTGCCAAGAATAGAGGAGGATTACATACGACTCTAAATGGTATGATCTGTGGAGTTTCCCAGGATCACAAGGCAGGGGGATGATGAAACCTTTTCAGGTCCTGTTTTTCTGGGGTGTTTGCTGCCGATTGGTCTTCCTGGATGTGGTGTGGAGGTCCTAGATAACCATGCACTCTTGTGGTGATGCAGGGCAGTGGGGACTTCTGCAAAGCTGCAAAGTCAGCCTGGCTGTGGCTTCCACAATGCAATAATCCTAACCATTCTCAGAGGACTCTTCACTGTTATTCCAGTCATTTCTGGGTCTCTAGTTGCCTCAGCCTTCTGCATGTTCCCATATGTCCATAACGCTTAAGGTGTATGCAGGATTTGGATATGGTACCATAAAACCTTAGGGACTACTCAGAGATTTTTATTCCTGCCTGTGAATCCACTTACTGGAGGCAGGCTTGGTTCTCCGCACTTGATTCCTTTAGGAATCCAGGTCTGGGTTCTGACTGCCACTATTTTGTCTCATAGGATGCCACCTGTGGAAATGAAACAGAGAAATCGGGTTCTGCCTTGTTTATCAAAGCCAGCTTTTGCTTCTCTCTTGAGGTAAATAATTTTTTTTTTTTTAAGTTATACATATGAAAGTAACTGTGACTTATAAAATGTTCAAAATTTGCCATGTAACCATTTTCCATGTAACCATTTTATGGCCTTTTCTTACAAATCTTAGTAGCATAAAATAGACAGCCCTGTAATTAAGGAAGAACTTGAGTATCCTGTGCTTTGTTAATCAGAGTCCTGCATTTATTATTATTACAAGAAGAAAAGGCTTTAAAAGAACCCAATCAAACCAGTATTCTTTTAACATACACGTGAGATTAGAGAGGTCTATTTGTAGCTGATCCTAAAAAATGAACTACTCTTTGGAGTTTTATCTCCATGTTCTTTTTATCCTTTAATTTTGGAACTTCTTCTCCCTTGCTTCTAAGATAAACATTAGAGTTAGAAATTTCTCCCTTTCACTGACCTTTAGAATGCAAGTAATGGTCAGCCTGCCTAAAGACACTGCCATTGTTCCTTATGGTTGTCAGGGCTGATAGGGAATTTACTCTTCCTTGTACAAATGCTATTTTACATTTGTCACCTTAATTTAGACAGACTTTTCAAGATGCTTCTGGATAAATAGCAGTAAATGACGGTCTTGTCTGGGCATGTTTAATGGTAAAAAATAGGTAAAATCTTTTCAATATTTTATCCATTAAGGATCAAGAATTCATATTTTCTCAAGACTTCATATTTTCTTTTATTATTACATTATTGCAGCATTCCATTACTGGTTGTTAACTGTTTTGGACTTAGATTCCTTTAAGATCAGTCCACTTCCTGGGAAACTGCAGATATATACAATATGTTTTACATATGATTTCAGATGTTCCACGGTGAGTTGTAGCCTATCCATGGGTATGTGTACAGTTAGGAACATATGCAAAACCAGAAGAGTATTTTTAAACTTTTTCACCATATGACACATGTGAGGGCAAGTCAATGCATATTGCTACTAGGATTCCAGTTCATACGTATACAAGTGGTTTTCAAAGAAAACATGTTAAACCTGTCTTTGCAATCAGTGGATGGGTGCAGATAAGCTCACTCAGTAATATCTTGCCTTAGTCTCTGTAGGGTGCCTTCACAAAAGCATATTTTTTTGTGACATGGAAAAAAATTATTTTGGGGGCTGGGCTAGTATCAAATTTTTAACAAAACTCAAGTGTTTTAGTATTCACATAAAACAATAGTTTTTAGGTCAAGCATTTTAAGTCGGGAAGACTCAAAGATGAAATGAGAGAGAGAAGGACTTCAACCTTATGAATGAAGAAACTGTGGCTGAAGTCCAGAAACATGTTGGCCTTAGCAAGCTTTTGGCTCAGTGGGTTTTGTGTGAAGATCAGATACCTCAAAGGGTTAATCATTATATCAGCCTTTCAAGCAAGATTGAAGCTAAGAAAGAAAACTTGTTGGAATGAATTATAACTGGCAATGAGTCTTAGATAGACCAATATGATCCAGAGAGTAAGATCCAATCAGAACAATGGTTTCCAAGGGGACCTGTTGAGCCAGTTAAGTTCCAGATAGAGAGATTAGCTCAGATGGCTTTGGTAGCTGTTTTTTGGCATTCAAAAGGTGGTAATCTTGAGATTTTCTTGAAAGACCCAGGACAATCACAAGGGCTTATTATGAATATGTTTTAATAAAATTGAAAACTGCATTAGTGAAAACAAGGTCAGGAAAGCTGCACCAAGACATTTTTTTCCCCTCACAACAGTGTGACTCTTCAGTCTTCAAGGGTAGCGAGAGTTGTTCAATGAGAATTTCATTGGGAACTCTTACTCCATCCACCTTACAGTCCTCATCTTGACCCTTTACACTTCTTTTTGTTCTCCAAAATAAAAAGAGTATTGGAAAAGAATGGGATTTGAGTCACTTGAAGATGACCAAATTCCCATTTGTACCGTGGTATAAACCAAAGAGGACAGAATTATTTGGGGGAGGGTTGGTGATGGTGGTGGCCGTGTGCCATAAAGTCGGTTCCAACTCATAACAACCCTGTGCAGGGTTTCTGAGGCTATAAATCTTTACAGGAGCAGAAAGGCTCATCTTCTCTCCCATGGAACCGTTGGTAGTTTTGAGCTACTGATCTTGAGGTTAGCAGCCTGATTCATAACCACTACACTACCGAAGTTCCTTTGGGGAAGGGTTACAGAGATGGAAACACTGCCTTCAGAATTGCAGAGACCTAGATAGAGAAGATGGTCAAGAAATAAAAACTTTCACATTTTATTATTTTTGTTTAAGAAAAGTTTCTATGATTTTGAAGCAAAACTTTTTGACTTACCCTCATATTAAGAAACACGTCTTTCATTGAGACTTAGCATACATGCTTATTTATAAGAAAAAAGAGAAATATTTACCTTGTATAATTTTCTGTTTTATTCACTTTTTTAAAAAAAAAAAAGTATACTGATCATAACTAACAAAACTTATTTTATGAAGCACTTGCAGGTTTTTAGACTATTGGTTTAAAATGCTGCTCTGTAAGTTGAGTTAAGGTCCTATTCAACTTTAGCAAAAGAAATTTTATTTCCTTTCTGAGAAAACCCAAAAGGGTTATGGTATTTACGCAAGATTGCTCAGCTAGTGTGGGAGCCCAAGTTTTTTTTTGTTTTTTTTTTTTATGTCAAGTAGATTCTTGTTTGCCACGTGAGCCGTATTCTTTCAGAACACCATTACCTCTAGGTTCCCCAGCCCCTAGAGTAGGCTTGAGGTCACTCGTTCAGAAATACTGGAGAGCCAGGAGCAGCCAGAAGCAGCTCACTTTGGAAAACTGAAGGTGTTATCTGTAGTGCTGTGAAGTCAGACATTGGTTTGACTTTAAAGAGTTTCCAACATTTAAATCTTCATGGGAGCAAACAGTCTTGTCTTTCTCCTGAGAAGCAGCTGGTATATTTGAACTACAGACCTTGCAGTTAACAGCCCAATGTCTATCCCACAGTGCCACCAGGCCTCCTTATATAATGTAATGCTGGTTACAGATAAGAACTCACACTAACTGAGCATCTACTATGTGTGAGAGAGGCATGGTGCAAATTTTAAAACTGTTATTTCATGTAGAATTAAAATGTGAATCACCTAGCACAAGGTCTAGCTTGACAATAGCTGTTATTAATCACCATCATTTTTACCCTTACCAACTCCAAACAATAGAGTTCTTTATAGCCTTGCTCTTGAGGTGCAAAGTCATCTGTGCTTCCAGCTTCCCAGGAAGGTCTTCAGTGTTCTCTCTTAATTAAGTCAGCTGATCTGCTATGTTTTCTTACCAATGACTTTAGGAATTAGCTATGATCTAGAAATGGTGTTTGGAACTCTGAGGCTGCTGTCACTATTACAACTGAAACTGGGCTACTCACTCAGTATCAGGCAGGCAGGGCTGGGCTCTTTTCTTAGTTAGAATGAGGAGTGAGTTCTCAACTTGGTGCTCAAACTCTACTCAGTAAGCAGCTATGACTTGCTTTAAATGTATGTGGCTCCTGAGTGAAAAAGCCAGCCCTACAAGCAGCTGTGTCACCCCCTGTTCTACTTTTTATCTTTATTTTGTCAGGCAGCCTCAGAAACCCCCAGGGTCACTGTGGTATCACTTGCAGCTTTTAAGATAAGGACATGCAAAGCTGATATGGCTTTCTCTGGGAGACAAGAAGGGATGGGCCATATGTGGGCTGTAGTTAGAATTAGCTTGGTTTTGCCTGGCAGTTTGTGCACAGTAGCCAGTATTTTTGTGGGTGAAAAAACATTTTAATATGAGCTTTAAGGCTCATTCCTTCTCTTTAATGATACTTTTTTTAAAAAACTTCATAATGGCCTCAAAGATTTGGAAGTGAAATATATTCAGTCATTTGTTAAGCATGTATTCTGTGCTTATTCTGTGTCGCATGCTAAAATCAAGAACTAGATGCTGTTCCTGCCCTTACTAAGTTTTCCAGAGTGTCTAGAGCAAAGGACAGGCATGCCTTCAGGGTAGAGCCATCAGTAAACAGATAAACACTTGTAGTGTAGTTCTTGTTCTTCACTATATCTTTTTAAACATATATTTCTTTTTGGTGGCAATCTACACAACCAAAAGAGCCCTGGTGTCAGAGCTAAGCATTTGATTGTTGATGGTTTGAATGTACTAATTGCACCACAGAAGAAAGATATGGCAATCGGCTTCTGAATAAAACTACATCCTTGGAAACTCTCTGCGGTAGTCCTACTCTGTTCAATCAGTTCCCTATGAAATTAGAATTTTCTTGTCTGCAGTAGAGCATACAAAGCCAAACATACATCCATTCACAGTTTCTACATAAATAATTCAATAACCATGTATCTATCACCCTGCTGTCTCTACTCCTATTATTACAGCACTATTAATTTAGGTTCTATGTCCTCATCTCTGCTTTAGATTAATTGTTGTCAATTTACATATAAATCTTTGTAAGATGACTATACTCGAGGCAAATTTTGTTGTTGTTGAGTGCTATGGAGTTGTTCCAACTCAAAGTAACCCTGTGTAAGGTATTTAAGGAGTAGCTGATGAGTTGGAACAGCCTGTCTGTGGTTAGCAGTCCTGTGCTTATCCTACAGCATCAAATATTCCTTTTTAATGGGGCTAAACTATTGCTTAATTTAATAGTGGCTTCATGGGATAGTTTTAGTTCAAGGTTTGATGATTATTTCTGAGCATTGGATTTATGATTGTTCCCAGTCTGAAAGGATTCAGCTAACCTCTTCAGTATATCTTAATCCAAGTGCCATTAAGGAAACAATTGAGTTCTATCTGCCTTTTATTTCTACAGCTGATATACTTTCATACACATGGTACTTTTAAATTTAGGAGTAGCTTAGCATAAGATTTTATTTTCCCTTACATCCTTTGGTCTTTCCTGTATATATCTTTTATTACTTTTTAAATTTTATTTAAATTTTATTTTTATATCTAGCCTGCAGCAAAACCTTCCTTTTTGGCTGTTCAGCTCCCTTTATATCCCATTCTATATCCTATTTAAATATTGTTTAGAATGATTTTAAAGAATTTGAAGATAGTTATATGTATTTATAAATGGTCAGCATAACAGGAAGTGGTTGATGTTCAACCACGTCAAGAGGTAGCATACGATCAAGAGCCAATGATACCAAAGGAAGATATCCAAGGTGCATTGAAGGAACTGGCAAAGAACAAGGCACCAGGATTTGATGGAATAAAAATTGAAATCTTTCAAGAAAGTGAGATGGTACTGGAGGCACTCACTCATCTATCCAAGAAATTGGGAAGACAACTGTATGGCCAACTGAGTGGAAGAGATCCATATTTGTGCCCATTCCAAAGAGAGGTGACCCAACGGAATGCGGAAATCACCGGGCAATCTCTTTGGTATCCCATGCGAGTAAAGTTTTACTAAAGGTAATACAGAAATCGCTGCAACCAAACATTGACAGAGAACTTCCTGAGGTTCAAGCTGGATTCAGAAGAGGCCATAGAATGAGGGATATCTTTGCTGATGTCAGATGGATCTTGGCTGAAAGCAGAGAATACCAGAAGAATGTTTACCTGTGTTTTATTAACTAAGCCAAGGCTTTCGATTGTGTGGATCATGACAAGCTATGGACAGCATTGCGAAGTATGAGTATTCCAGAACACTTAATTGTGCTCATGCGGAATCTGTACATGGACAAAGAGGCAGTTGTTCAAACAGAACATGGGAACACTGAATGGTTTAAAATTAAGAAAGGTATGAGACAGGGTCGTTGTATTCTTTCACCATACTTACTCAACCTGTATGCTGAGCAAATAATATGAGAAGCTGGGTCATATAAAGAAAAACGTGGCATCAGGATTGTAGGAGGACTCATTAACAACCTGCAATATGCAGATGATACAACCTTGCTTGTTGAAAGTGAAGAGGACTGAAAGCACTTACTCATGAAGCTCAGAGAGCACAGCCTTCAGTGTGGATTGCATCTCAATGTAAAGAAATAAAAAATCCTCACTGCTGAACCAATAAACAACATTCTTATCAATGAAAAAAAAGATTGAAGTTGTCAACAACTTAATTTTTCTTGGATCAATCAGAAACACTCATGGAAGCAGCAGTCAAGAAATCAAACCACATATTGCATTAGGCAGATCTGCTGCACAAGACCATTTTAAAGTGTTTAAGAGCAAAGATGTCAGCTTCAAGACTAAGATACGCTTGACTCCAAGCTATGGTATTTTCAATAACCTCATATGCATGTGTAAGTTGGACAGTGAATAAGTAAGACTGTGGAAGAATTGATGCATTTGAGTTATGGTGTTGGAAGAGAATATTGAAAATGCCATAGGCTACCAAAAGAATAAACAGATCTGTGTTGGAAGAGGTACAATACACCAGAGCGCTCCTTGGAGGCCAGGATGACCAAACTTTGTGTCTCATACTTCGGACATATTATCAGGAGAGACCAGTCACTAGATAAAGATATCATGTTTGGTAAGGTGGAGGGTTAGAGAAAAAGAGGAAAACCCTCAGCGAGATGGATTGGCAAAATGACAGCAGCAATGGGCTCAAGCGTGTGAGGTTGGCCCAGGATTGGGCAGTGTTTCATTCTGTTGTACATAGGATTATGAGTCTGTACTGACTCGATGGCACCTAACAACAACAACATAGTTCAGTTGTGGTTTTAAAAGGCTGCAACTATCATAGGGATTTAGCAAATAATTCTTTATTCTTTCTTTCCAGGTATCATGAATTTCACCCTTTTCTGTGTGCATCTGATTTTAAAAAGATTGCTTCCATGTATGGTAGCGATAAGTTTGATTTACCCTATGGGATAAAAACATCAGGTCAGTAAAATTATCCTTATTCTACCCTATTAAATTTGAGTGGTATTTGAAGAGAAGTGCATGTTTGTATTATCCTTAAGGCCTTTTAAGGAGCCCTGGTGGTGTAGTATGTAGGGTAAGCACTGAACTGCTAATTGCAGGGTCAACAGTTCAAACCCACCAGCTGCTCCATAGGGAGTAAAGATGAGACTTTCTGCTCTCATAAAGATTTAGAGTTTCAGAAACCCTACACAGGGTCGCTATGAGTCGGAATCAACTTGCTGGCCGTGAGTAAATAAATCCTTTTAATTTTTCTGTTTCATAATAATGCCTGAAGAATATGATTTGGGAATGAAATTGATTTTTTAAAAAGTAGATTTCCAACACATACAACAGAGAAGGAAAAGGGCTGGGAGTCTCATTGCTTGCAGGAACAACTACCTCTTTTGCCTTGAGATGAGAATAATGGGTGGTGTCTGACCCACATTACTGAACATTTTGATCAAGGACTTGGTAGATGGATCCTGATCAAAAAGAGGAAAATGTGGAACAGATTTTTAAATTCTTATAGAACCCAGACTTACTAGACCCAGCAGAACTGGGGGAACCCCCAAACTTAATAGCTTTGAGAGAGCCTGTAAGTCTTAGACTGAAACCAGTCCATGAAGTAATCTTTAAACAACAGTTTTATCAACTAGTAAAGAATGTTTGCATTAAGCAGTGTGCTCTTTTAAAGAATTAATCTACATGAAATCAAACTGACAACAGTAACCAAAACACAAAGGATACGTTTAGGGAACAGAGAGTCTATAAGTAAATCGTGATGAACTAGTATGCACAGAGATAGGGAGATTGGTATGCAGTGTCATTGCACAAGTAGAAAATGTTGAATGGTTGTAGGAGTATGCTTTGTTACATAACTCTTCACACACAAAAGTAAAGCAATCTCCTTTTGAGGCAGAGAAAAAGAAAGGAATAAAAGTGGTAGCATTTCTTTGTTGTTGGGAAATTGCTCTTTATTTGTGTTATACCACTACATGGTTGATATGCTTTCTTATGCCTTACTTCTTTTATGATTTAGAAGTAACAGGATAACCTTGTGGGCTAATTATCTCTCCATTTCACCTTTGTTGTTGTTGTTGTTAAGTGCCGTTGAGTCGGTTCCGACCCATAGCGACCCTGTACAGGGTTTCCGAGGGTGTAAATCCTTACGGGAGTAGAAAGCCTCATCTTTCTCCCGCGGAGCAGCTGGTAGTTTCGAACTGCTGACCTTAGGGTTCGCAGCCCGATTCGTAACCACTACGCTACCAGAACTCCTTTATACATGTTAATTTTATTTTATCAGCAAGTTCTAGATTCTTGATCAATCTTAATTCGAACAATGGATATTTTGCTTCTGCTAAATTTAGAGAGAATTGCTCCATCTACTAATGACAAAATGTTTTTCCCTTTATTAGTTAATAACAGATTGGGCTTATGCTGATTTCACATCTAGATTTTAAAACGCAAAGGAGTGATGTTGTTGTTGAGTGCCTACAAGTTGGTGACTCACTGCGAGTGGCTGGTGGGTTTGAACCACTGACCTTGTGGGTAGTAGCAGCCCAGTGCTTATCCTACAGTAATACACCAGAACCTCACAAGAAGTGATGGGCCTACAATATTCTGAATTAAAAATCGCTTATGCAGCTAATCTCTTTAAACTCATGGGATATTGATTTCTATACTAACATTCAGTTTCAGAATCATCTGATGTTGCTGATTCTGAAGTAACTTATTTAACAATTGATTTCAGATCATTATTGTTGTTGTTAAGTGCCGTGGAGTCTGTTCTGATTTATAGCAACCTTGTCTAAGGCTTAATAGGAGTAACTGGTGGTTTTGAATTGCCAATCTTGTGGTTAGCAGTCCAGTGCTTATCCAATAAAGCAACTCAGGACATTTTTCTGAAGTTTTTTGAAAGTGTTCTTAGAGCATTTACAATTTTAAATATTGGCTAATTGTAGTTTTTTAGTTAATTGGTTTTCACCAGAGTAAATTAGATGTAGTCATATCAGTTGTAAAAGGGATTGGGGAAGGAGGGCAACATGACTTGCTACGTGCCTTAGAAGCCATGGTTGTAATTTTTTTCATAATGTTCCATTTATCTTCTAGCGGAGTATTTTCGAGTTGCTCTTTCAAAACTGCAGAGTTGTGATCTCTTCGACGAGTTTGACAAGTGAGTTTATTCCCATGCTTCTGACTTTTATCCTTAGCTAAACTAGTTCAAAATGTACACTCTGGGAAATGTAAATGTATTTACCCAGGAAAATTCTATAGCTTTTGTAACTAAAACTTCTTGCAGCAATTTTATAGCATTCAAAACAAATGAACTGAGAAATAAATGTAGAAGTTGTATATAGGCAGTCCCCAGTTATAAACATTGACTTAGTTTAACTCATATTTGTCCTTCAATGTTAATAAATTTGCCCTCACTTTGAAACTGACTTCTGCTGGCAACAAATTCTTTATGCTTCATTTCCGGCACATGCAGCTTTTAAATCATTAAAAAGGCTTCAAGCTTTTCTGTTTTTTTGTTTTTGTTTTTGTTTTTTTTGCACTAACCTACAGCTAAAGAAGGAGCTCTGGTAGCGTAGTGGTTACGAATCGGGCTGTGAACCATAAGGTCAGCAGTTTGAAACTACCAGCTGTTCCGTGGGAGAAAGATGAGGCTTTCTGCTCTCGTAAAGATTTACAGCCTCGGAAACCCTGTTCAGGGTTGCTATGGGTCGGAACCGAGTCCACGGCACATAGCAACAACAACAACACAGCTAAAGAAGAGCCATATGCGCCTGTTCTTCCTGACCTACAAATTCTGAAAGACACACTGGGAACAGAGCTCCTTCCTAACCTGGGGACTGCCTATATTTGGCTCAAAAGTTTTCAGTGTTGATAATGAGCAAAGCTGATCAGCAACAGTCTTTTTATTTTTATTTTTTTATCATTTGTATTGTGAACTGGGTGAAAATTTCCTGAGCAAATCTGTTTTTCATTCAACTGCGTATTTGTTGTATGTCATAGATTGCAGTCCCCACAGTATACCATCGCTCATCCCACTTCCTCCCTGTCATTTCTGTTTCCATTCTTCCTCCTTTCCTAACCCTTCCTGCCTTCTGAACTTCGTCCATGGGCAAATGCTGCCCTTTTGATATAATTTGATTTTTCTAAGGAATGCATACCTCCCTAATTTAATTATTCTGCTTTTGTTGTTGTTGTTGTTAATTGCCATTGAATTTGTTCCGACTTATAGCGACTCAATATGAGTTTCAGAGGAGCAGATGGTGGGTTTGAACCAGTGGCCTTGTGGTTCAAAGTTACCCGCAGTCCAGTGCTTATCCTACATTGCCAGAACTCATTCAGCTTATAGACCTTTCTGTTGGTGAAAACTGATCCATGGGATGATGAGTTTATTCCAGGACTGAAGGATGGCTAAGGTCACAGTCATGGGGATTCCTTCAGTTTTTAGCAGACCAGTAAGCCTGATCTTTTTTAAGATTTTGAGTTTTGTCACACATTGCATTCTCACTCCCTTTAGGACCGTCTAATGTGGTCCCTTTCAGAACGATCAATTATTTTAGGTGGGCATCATCTAATTATTTGGGTCTCAGGGTCATGGGGGCTGAGATGTGTGGGGTCTGCTTGTTTTCAAGTCTCTTTGATTTTCTTCACTCTTTGGACTGCTTGTTTTCAAGTCTCTTTGATTTTCTTTACTCTTCTTTGCTCCAGACAAGAAGAGGCCAAGTCACACCTTAGATGATTGCTCTTAAGCTTTTAAGATCCCTTTCACTTCTCACCAAGTTTGAATGCTGAACTTTTTTTGTGTGTGTGGACTATGTTGTGCCACTTGACAAGATGTCCCTGAAACTGTGGTCCTACACTTCCAGGCCCAGTAACTCATTCCTTCAAGGTGTTTGGTTATGGCGAAGAAGTTTTCATAACTTTGCCCCCTGTATGCTCTGCCACTGAGTCCTGCTGTGGCAATGTAGGATAAGCATTGGATTGGTAACCACAAAGTCAGTGGTTCAAATCCACCAGCTGATCCTTGAAAACCCTATACAGTGGGCTCAAACATAACTGTGAGGATGCACAAGACTGAGCAGTGTACTGTTCTGTTACAGTTGCTATGAGTTAGAATTGACTCGGTGGTACCTAGTAATAGTAATAATTAATAATTGTGTCACAGCTCTTCATTTTCTAGGGTACATACCTAGTGGGATTGCTGGATCATATGGTATTTCTATTTCCAATTTTATAAGGAAGTACTATACCACTTCCCAAAATTGTTACACCATTTTACAATCTCACCAGCAGGTCCCCGTCTCTCCATACTCTTACCAGATTTGTTGTTTTCTGTTTTTCTAAATTTTGCTATTAATAAAATGAGATGATACAATCTCATTGTTGTTTTGATTTACATCTCTCTAACTGGAGTCACTAGAGTTCTGGTGTTGTGGCACTGTGGGCTAATGCGCTGGACTGCAAAGTTGTTTGAACCACAAGGTCGACAGTTCAAGCTCACCAGCCACTCCTTGGAAACCCTATACAGGGTTGCTATGGGTTGGAACTGACTCGAAGGCAACAACACTTGGAGTCACTATGAGTCAGAAGTGACAACAGCAGCAGCAATTGGAATCTTGGTATGGTGCTGTAGGATAAACACTGGACTACTAACTGTGAGGTTTGTGGTTCAAACCCACCAACTGTTCCCTGGAAACTTTATACAGAGTCATTGTGAGTCAGACTGACTTGACAGCACTTAACAACAGTCACAATTGATTGTGAGCATTTCTTCTGTGTTTGTTGTCCACCAGAATGTCAGCTATGGCACAGTATCTCTGCATGTCCTCTGCCTGTTTGTTAGTTGGATTATTTATTTTTGTTGTTGAGGTGTGGAAATTTTCTATACATTTTAGAAATTAGTTCTTGTCTGATACATGGGGCTTCAAAAAGTTTATGGGAATTTTTTCAATTCCATGATTCCACAAACTTTCTGAAGCCACCTCGTATGTCATTGCCAAAAAAAAATTTTTTTTTTAACTCTTTTGGTGGAATTTTTGGATGCACATGAGTGTCTAATTTTTAGAAAGTTCCAGTTACCTAGTTTTTCTTCTGCTATTTGTGTACTTTCAGTTAAGTTTGATAGTATATTTATGGCATGTATTAGGGCCTCTAGTAGTTTGTCCCTAGACAGCCCAGGTAGTACTATATTATAAACACTGTACTACTGACCCACAGTTCAAACCCACCAGCTCCTCCTTGGGAAAAAGATGAGACTTTGTGCTCCAGTAAACATTTATAGCCTCAGAAATACAGTAAATATTTACTGTCTTGGAAACCCTACGCAGGGTTGCTATGGGTTGAAATTGACTCAGTGGCAATGGATTTTGGGTAGGTTTGTCCCAGGTTTTTCATTGATGATCTTTATAGTTCTAGGTCTTAGACCCAACCTGAGTTCATTTGTGTATATGGTGTGAGATATGGGTCCTGTTTCATTTTTCTGCAAATGGATATCCAATTTTGCCAGCAGTGTTTGTTAGAGACTAATCTGTGCCTATTTAATGAGTTTTGACCCTTTGTCAAAGGTCAGCTGTTCATAAGTGAATGGATCTACTTCTGGGTCCTCTGTTCCAATCTTTGGGTCTATGTGTCTGTCTTACCAGTACCTGGGTGTGTGGATTACCATGGCTGTGTAGTAAGTTTTAAAATTGGGAAGTGGGAGGTCTCTGACTTTGACGATCTTCTTTAGTTGTACTTTGATTATCTGGGGTATACTTCCTTTCCATATAAAGTCTGTGATTCATTCTTTTTCATTTCTTTAAAAGAATTATGTTGGTATCAATTGAGATTGCCTTCTATCACTTTGAGTAGTATTGACATTTTTACAATGTTCATTTTTCCTGTCCATGAGGATGATATGTTCTTCCATTATGTAGACCTCTTGTGGTTTATAGTGGTAGTTTCTTTGCATGGGTGTTTTATATCTCTGGTTATATTTATTCCTAAGTATTTCCATCTTTTGGGTGGCTGCTGTAAATGGTATCATTTATCTGATTTCTTTTTCAGAGTTCTATTTGTTGTATAAAGGAAACCAGTTGCTTTTTGTATGCTGATCTTGTGTCCTGCTACTTTGTGAATCTTTCAATATTTTCAATAATTTTCTTGCCAAGTCTTTGGGATTTTCTGTGTATAAGATCAGATCATCTGTAAATAGAGTTACTTTTTCTTTGCCAATTTAGAACCTTTAATTTCCCTTTCTTGCTTTATTGCTTTGAGTAGGACTTCCAATACAATATTGAATAGGAGTGGTGATAAAGGGCACCCTTGTGTGTGGTTCATGTTTGCATGGGGAATGTTTTCTATGTCTCTCAGTTGGCCTTTGGTTTGGTTTTGTTGTTGTTGTTAAATGCCGTCAAATTGGTTCCGACTTTTAGCAACCGTTTATAGGGTTTCCAAAGAGCAGCTGGTGAATTTGAACCTCTGATCTTGTGGTTCAAACCGACTTTGTGATCCATGCTTTATCCTAAAGTGCCACACCAAGATATGCCCTTAATTATACTGAGGAATTTCCCTTCTTTTTCTATTTTTGTTGAGCATTTCTATCAGGAATAGGTCAAAGGCCTTTCTGTTTTAATTGATAGGATCCCATGGTTCTTATACTTTGTCTTTTTTATTTATATGGTAGTTTACATCAATTGTTTTCTAATATTAAGTCATCCTTAAAGGTGTGGTTTGTATCCCATTTGGTCATTTATGTGTGTGTATGTATGTGATATGTTGAATTCTACTAGCTAAAAATTTGTTGATAATTTTTTATATCTATGTTCATGAAGAATATTGGTCTGTAGTTTTATTTTTTAGTCATGGCTTTGCCTGGCTTTGGTATCAGGCCTGTGCTTACTTTGTAAAATAGATTTGGGGAGTATTACATCCTTTTCTACAATCTGGAACAGGTTGAGTAGAATTGGTGCTAGATTTTCTCTGAATGTTTGGTAGAAGTTGCCAGTGAAGTCCACTGGCTTCATTGTTTCAATTTTCTTTTGTTATATGGATCTACTCAATTTTTTTTTAACCTCAGTCTGTGCTACTTTAGATAGGTTGTGTGTTTCTAGAAACTAGTGCATTTCTTCTAGGTGTTCACATTTTTTGGAGTACAGTTCTTCATAATATTCTATTTCCATG